AATAAATTTACATAAAAGCCACTCCAACTGTGAAGCATGGGGATGTTTCACAATCTGGGAATCCTTTTGCTACAGTTTAACAAGGCCAGTTAAACATCATACCATGCAACACGTATCTTAATAGTGTTTACCTAAAGAAATTTAAGAGAATGACGATCCAAAATATACCAGTGTATCAGCTAATGGGCTGGCAAAGAATTAAAAATTGAGAACTCCTGGGTCCAATCCCAAACCGTCCCCTAAACTCCCAAGCATTAACTTCTAATTTGAGTGTTACTGCAGAGGCTCCACCCCTACAAGGGCAGTCCCAAACAATGTAGTGGGTAAAACAAGTGGACCATCCAGCCCTTAAATAGAGGGTCTGCTTCACTCAGACTCGCTGGAATTTGACAGCAACTGTAACTGCAAAAGAATTTCAGAGGAGGCATTCAGATCTAAGTTCACCTGGTTTGCTGCATTTTTTCACACGGACACACAAGACAGGTAAACAAGACGATATTAATTCCAAAAGGGAAGGTCATCTTTGAAATATTTTCATTTGACTGATTAGAATTATTTTTAAGAAAGAGGCAAATGTTTGATTACATGTCATCCTGCACCACATAGCTTTAGCCATGCACATGGGATGTCACTGTGTTGCCATAGCAACAACTTATTTTCATATCCAGTGGAGGTAAGGGGTCATCCAATTCTCATTTACCCCCCCCCCCTTCAATCCAGGCAACCTAACAACTGTGAGTGTGACTTCATTGGGAGTGATACTACATAGAAGAGGCAGTGGATAGGGAGCGGTTTGGGGTTGGGCCACGGAGTGACGAAAAGCCAAGGAGAGACATGAAACATTCTGCACGTGCAAGAAATCACTCAAACACTTCAAGGTGAAAATCAAGGACTCTTAGATGGTTACAAGAGGAGGCTTCTCACTCATGATATGCCAGCCAAAGGAGGTCACCCAAGCTATTAGGAAGTAAAGGTGTCCTTACTTTTTCCTCAGTTCAGATCTATTCAGTGTTTGATAAGAACAAAATAGTACCTGTATTGAAATTAATTTAGTTTTCAGACAAGAACAGAAAATATGATTAGATATATGATGATAGTGTTTAACAATTAATTATTGTAGCTACCTTCTTTTTTTATGAATATAATAGGTGAGAGATGTAAATGTAGTAACATATTCACCTTAGTTTTTGTAGTCAGCAAGGCACAAGAAAGGACAAGGTCTCACCTCAATGATCTACAGTACTAGAGGCCCTTTACGAAATCAGCTTTGTTTTTTCTGTGAAACTGGACCATAGATAACAGTACTCATTGTGAGAGACCAGTTAAACCGAGTTTAATTTGCTTTTAAACTGTTTAATCATTCTCCTGTTTGAACTGTTTGCATGGAGCTGTCAGCTAAATGTTGCCCCACCCTTTGATTTCAACAGCACTCACCCAAAACCTTAATGATTTCCTAAACTTAACACAGGTAACTCTGGATGTTTATATGTTCTTCTACCCTCTTCTTATTCAAGAGTTTCTCATGAAACGAATTATAAGGGGAGAATACACATAATCTATGCATGTCCCTGAACAGATTGGCCACTAGGTTAAGTGGGCAAAACTTAACCTAGAATTTAAACAGGAACAATGCCTGTTTAAATTCTGAGCTATAAAAGGCTTTATACTGAGGCCATTACTGTGCCTTTGTAATGTGTGACTCCTTTGCAGTTTTGCTACTGACACCACACCGGGACACTTTGTGGAAGAACAATAACAACAACACATTCCTTGCTTGTATAGTGGCTTCCTAGAGGCTCATTGGGGTTTCTAAGAAAGAGTTGAATTCAACTCTGCCTGTACACGCCCTACAGTGTCCCATGTAAGCAACTTTGTAGTAGGAAGGTGTTTGTTTGATTAAAAATAAAAAAGTGGCTTCCATGTTTCGTTTGTTCGTCATTGAAAATAGAATTAATCTGTAAAGAAAAGATCCCGTTAACTCGTATTTATAACAAAATATCTGATGTACCACAGGGAAGCTGCAGTGTTGCTTGACACCATTAGTGTGTGAATTTGTGTGGGAATTGGTGAATGAATGTAGTGCAAAGTGCTTTGATGTTTTCTGATTTAAAAGGGTGCTTTTCTAAGTAAATGAATAAATAACAGTCTTTACTAGCAAATTTTTGTACATTCAAATTAAATGTGTCTCCTAAATTTAAATCAATGATGGCTGCTGTGCATCATCATGTGAATGTTCTCAGGTTCAGGGACCGAAAGCGGCCTGCTAAAAGATTTGAACCCCGGGAACGTACCGCCTTCTCAGAATGTTAGTGACCTGCTATAACCAGCAGTTTGTGACTCATGTCACACAAGGGTCGCTGTGTGTGTGTGTGTTTGGGGTGGGATTTATACGGTTGATGCAGCCTCAAAAGGAGACAAATACTTTTTCTTAGANTGTCACTGTGTTGCCATAGCAACAACTTATTTTCATATCCAGTGGAGGTAAGGGGTCATCCAATTCTCATTTACCCCCCCCCCCTTCAATCCAGGCAACCTAACAACTGTGAGTGTGACTTCATTCGGAGCGATACTACATGAGGCAGTGGATAGGGAGCGGTTTGGGGTTGGGCCACGGAGTGACGAAAAGCCAAGGAGAGACATGAAACATTCTGCACGTGCAAGAAATCACTCAAACACTTCAAGGTGAAAATCAAGGACTCTTAGATGGTTACAAGAGGAGGCTTCTCACTCATGATATGCCAGCCAAAGGAGGTCACCCAAGCTATTAGGAAGTAAAGGTGTCCTTACTTTTTCCTCAGTTCAGATCTATTCAGTGTTTGATAAGAACAAAATAGTACCTGTATTGAAATTAATTTCGTTTTCAGACAAGAACAGAAAATATGATTAGATATATGATGATAGTGTTTAACAATTAATTATTGTAGCTACCTTCTTTTTTTATGAATATAATAGGTGAGAGATGTAAATGTAGTAACATATTCACCTTAGTTTTTGTAGTCAGCAAGGCACAAGAAAGGACAAGGTCTCACCTCAATGATCTACAGTACTAGAGGCCCTTTACGAAATCAGCTTTGTTTTTTCTGTGAAACTGGACCATAGATAACAGTACTCATTGTGAGAGACCAGTTAAACCGAGTTTAATTTGCTTTTAAACTGTTTAATCATTCTCCTGTTTGAACTGTTTGCATGGAGCTGTCAGCTAAATGTTGCCCCACCCTTTGATTTCAACAGCACTCACCCAAAACCTTAATGATTTCCTAAACTTAACACAGGTAACTCTGGATGTTTATATGTTCTTCTACCCTCTTCTTATTCAAGAGTTTCTCATGAAACGAATTATAAGGGGAGAATACACATAATCTATGCATGTCCCTGAACAGATTGGCCACTAGGTTAAGTGGGCAAAACTTAACCTAGAATTTAAACAGGAACAATGCCTGTTTAAATTCTGAGCTATAAAAGGCTTTATACTGAGGCCATTACTGTGCCTTTGTAATGTGTGACTCCTTTGCAGTTTTGCTACTGACACCACACCGGGACACTTTGTGGAAGAACAATAACAACAACACATTCCTTGCTTGTATAGTGGCTTCCTAGAGGCTCATTGGGGTTTCTAAGAAAGAGTTGAATTCAACTCTGCCTGTACACGCCCTACAGTGTCCCATGTAAGCAACTTTGTAGTAGGAAGGTGTTTGTTTGATTAAAAATAAAAAAGTGGCTTCCATGTTTCGTTTGTTCGTCATTGAAAATAGAATTAATCTGTAAAGAAAAGATCCCGTTAACTCGTATTTATAACAAAATATCTGATGTACCACAGGGAAGCTGCAGTGTTGCTTGACACCATTAGTGTGTGAATTTGTGTGGGAATTGGTGAATGAATGTAGTGCAAAGTGCTTTGATGTTTTCTGATTTAAAAGGGTGCTTTTCTAAGTAAATGAATAAATAACAATCTTTACTAGCAAATTTTTGTACATTCAAATTAAATGTGTCTCCTAAATTTAAATCAATGATGGCTGCTGTGCATCATCATGTGAATGTTCTCAGGTTCAGGGACCCAAAGCGGCCTGCTAAAAGATTTGAACCCCGGGAACGTACCGCCTTCTCAGAATGTTAGTGACCTGCTATAACCAGCAGTTTGTGACTCATGTCACACAAGGGTCGGTGTGTGTGTGTGTGTGTGTGTTTGGGGTGGGATTTATACGGTTGATGCAGCCTCAAAAGGAGACAGATACTTTTTCTTAGAGACATGTAGATCGGTGCCTTTAATATATATTGGTTAGAAATCCTAATAACAAGTGAGGCGCCTTTACAGAACCAAAAAGAGAAAAAATATATAGTAAACTGGCTGCTGCCACACAGGCTGTGCAATAGATGGGAACAGAGCACAGGAAGAAAAGAAAAAAAAAAAAAAAGAGTACTCTTCAAATAAGGAAAATGTTGCTTGATAATTAAGTCAGATTATGCATATATTTATTTTGTTTGTGCGTGTATTCACTAAACAACATTGGAAATCTCTCAAAATTCAGAAAGCAAATGCCATTACCAAGAGGGCATAATGTCTCTTAATACTTTAATTAAAAATAGGTCATTATGATTAAAACTCACAATTACAGATCTGACACAAATTTGGATATAACCAATTATATTGATAGAGACCAATCAATCTTAAGCCAAAAGTTAAATTTCATCTGGCTTTATAAGGAAATAATTAAAAAAAGTTAACTTTCAGACTGTCGTCCTTGTAAGAAGAGATCCAGTGTGTTTATGGAAGGATAGGTGAGGTTCCAGGTGGAATACCGGAAGTTCAGCAGTGACAAAAAACTGCAGCTACAAACTGCTACAGAATAAATATTTCAGACTCGTTTCCTCTGAAAACCAACCAGCGCGGAGCAAACAGATATTTAAACGTGTTTCAAAGTTATTGTCCAGGTCTCTCTTGTTATATATTTCATCCCAACAGGCTACCTGGCTAAAGTAAAGGAAAAAAAGTCTCCACTTACGTGATATCTGGCAGAGCTCATTTCAACAGACAGGCGGAACCTGAATCCAACAGGAAAAACTCTGCAGCTTGTCTTCTACCTTAAACCAACACTGCAGTCATTAAAAAACAAACAAAACAAAACGTAGTCCTTCGGAGGTTTATCACAATCTTTTCCTAGCGAACAGAGAGCTTGAAGCCGCCAGAAGAAAAACCTGTTGCTCACACGCCTTGAGCATAAGCCCCGCCCACAACACCTGCCGTGTACCTGGCCACCAGAAATCCCTGCCTGTCTAAATTCAACTCAGTGCAAATGGATCAGAATCGTAATAATGCAGTGGATGACATTGATGTGAGAATTGTGTGATTAAGATTTTAATCAGTCTTCTATAACAAGTACTTTTAAGCTAGATAATATTTCTCTCTCTCTCTCTCTCTCTCTCTCTCTCTCTCTCT